CCCCGCCTTTCTCATGAAATAACTCGTGTTTTTTAAAGCGAGTAAAATCATTGCAACTGAAACAAAAACAGCTCTTCTGCATTACAAAGACAAAGCAAGGCCGTGGCTCTGCCCGCACAGCCAGTGCCACTCCCGCCTGCCCGGAGGACGGGCCGGGCCACTCACAGATGAACATGATCTCCTCGCTGCCATCGTCAGCCATCCCAGCACCTGTCAGGACACGAGAGCGGTGTTAATGACAGACTTTTTGACAGAGCAATTCTGAAAGATAATTCCTGCTGCCCAGCCGGTGTGGCTCAGTGCTTGAGCGCTGACCCTTGAACCAAAAGCCTGTGGGTTCAGTTTCTGGTCAGGAGGCCACATGCCTGAGTTTCGGGCTCAATCCCCAGTAGGGGGCGTGCAGGAGGCAACTGACCGATGTTTCTCTCTCACTGATGTTTCTCTCTCCCTCTCCGTTCCTCTCTCTCTAAAATCAATAAAAAATATATATATTTAAATATATATATATAATTCCTGCTACAGGCTTCCTCATGCCTATGCTTTCAGGCAACATGCAACAGGGTCCCCTTTATAGTGGGATGGGGCTGGGGGCCTTGAAATGTGTTCTCACCTAAAATGTTGTTTTTTAAAAAAGCAATTGACTTGGATGGTCTCTATTAGGAAGTCTCCATGAATTCACACCTCACCTTTTTATATTAGCTGTGTTTCCATTTGTAAAATAAACAATCACCATTTTTAAACAGCCAGTTTTCACACTGTCACGTTTATTTTCCCTCCCTCACTGGATTGTCAACTCCTCCAGGGCAACCAAGCCTAGTGCTGCCGACTGGGCCTGTCACCCAGGAAGCAGTCGGCTCTCCTGGGGCTGAAGCAACCATGACATCCTGGAGGACAGCGGCCCTGCTCTCCACAAAACCTGTCAGATCCGGTCCCTTCCGTTTCCCAATCATCCTGTGAGGGGCAGCTCAAGAGCTACCCCCACGGTGGGCAGCTGAGCTTACCCCGGCCACGATATTTGCGGGGTGATCTGGACATGTTAATGCTAGAGCCTCAGATTCCTGACCTATAAAATGGAAATAAAAGTGCTCACCTCGTGCAGTTCGGGGGAGTGACACTTGGGGCACGTGGCTCTCTCCCACGCCCTTCATCCCCAGATAAGCCAACCGGGCACAACCCTCTTGCCTCCCACTTCTCGGGGCCCTCTGAGGGGTGCCCTTTGTGGGAAAGTGCAGGCTGGCACTCCCTGAAGGCCACCCCACAAGCCGCCCTCTCCCCAGGAGCCTGAGGAATGAAACGCAGACAATGCAAAGTCCAAATGGAAACTCGGATTTGCCGAACACGTTTCCACAGCAGAGAAGAGAGCTTCGCTGTGGCAGTGACACAAGGACCCCGGCGGAGAGACGGGAGCACCAACTTGCCCTTAAAATGCCAAAGACAAATAAGCCAGGTGTGCTCTTCCCTGGTCTCTCCCAGCGCGGTGGCTGCGCCCCTCTCCCACGGGGAAGGCGGCTCTCCCGCTCTCCCCTGGCCGGCCTGCCCGCTTTCCAGGCACGGGGTCCTTCGAGAACATGCGCCAACCTCAACCTAATGGCTCCCGTTCCTGGGGCCAACCCGAGCTCCTCAGCCTCCTGTGCCCGCCCCCCTCGGCTTACTTTGTCCCCAGCTCCTTCCCGGCCCCAGGCCTCCCACACGCTGCGCCTCCAGCCTCTCCCCACTGGGCCCAGCTGACGCCTGCTCACTTTTCTTGTCTCAGTTTAATTGTCACTTGTTTGGGGAGCGTTTTCTGACCCACCTGTCCAAATGAGGGCCCTGGTAACCCTTCCTGAAAGCACCCTGCAATTTCCCGTCACCACGGCTTTCCCTGCCGTGCTCGTCAAGGTGCGTGCTGTCTAGTGTCTCTCCCCTCACCGGGCCTGCAGGCCCCAAGGCAGGACCCATCGGCACAGGCTGGGCGCCGCTTCCACCCTCCAGGTCCCCTGTACTCTGCAGGTAACACTCCACCCTGTACAGATCACCCATACACAGCAGGGCCCGGAGAGCATTTGACTGGACTCCCTCTGGACCTCCAGATAATCAGGAGTTGCTTGAAATGTTTCAAATACGTCATTTGTACAATGTACGCCCAGAAGTTAAAAAGTTTGCCTAAATTAGCCTTAGCCAGTTTGGCCCAGTGCTTAGAGTGTCGGCTGCGGACTGAAGGGCCCAGGTTTGATTCCGGCCAAGGGCACGTACCTACCTCTGTTGCAGGCTTGATCCCCGGCCCTGGGGATGTTTCTCTCTTTGTCTTCCAGTCTCTGAAAAGCAACAGAAAAAATATCCTTGAGTGAGGGTTTCAAAAAAAAAGTTTGGCTAGATTAGCAGTGAAACCTGGAAGAGAAACTTCAGGTATTCCAAGTAAAAAGTGATCTTAAATACTTATATCACTTTCTCCATATTTACAGAGCATCCTGGGCACCACCCATGGCCCAGGACTCGGCTGGCAGCCTACCTGTCCTGTCCCCAAGCAGGCCAGGCCTGGAGCTGAGGTCCTTCTCCTCTGTGGCCTGGGGGGTGGGGGTGGGGCGGGGGCTGCACTGGCCTGTCCTTGCTTTCACAGGGCCCGGGCCTTCCCTCCCTTGGACACAGATTGTTTAAGGGTTCCCAGCTACACATACTTGAAAGAAAGTTTAAACAGAAAAATCTGTGCTAGTCAAAAAACGCTGCAAACCAATAATGCTCTTACAGGAA